CCATGTCCACGGGGCGCTGCCCACCCCACACAGGCCATGTCCACGGGGCGCTGCCCACCCCACACTGGCCACCTGAAGGCCACAGAAAGCACACTGGTTGTACCCATGGCAGCAGCGTGTGCCCACTAAGGCCAGATAACCAGATGGGCTCCTGTTCAGGGGGGTCTACCTGATGGCGCTGGCCCAAGGTGTGGGGGTGAGGGTCTCTTTCTAGACACTATGTCTAGTCCTGAAAGCAGTGTCACCACAAGATCTTGTTGGTTCTTTGAGCAATGAGGAAACAGAAACTCAGAGAGCTCAGGTTTTCCAGAGCGGGTAGGAGCTCAGGCTTCTCCAGGCAGGCTGCTGTCTGACTCAGCTCCCCAGCCGGTGACCCTAAACTAGTCACTTCTCATCTCCGAGCTTCCATGTCCTCATTTGTAAAGCAAGAGCGTCTGAGGGTTATTCCGAGAAAGGCTGGCAAGGGCTCCAGTCAGAGCTGACAGAATGTAAGTGGGCAGTGAGGGCAGCGGGTCACAGTAGCTAGGAGAAGATGGTAATGAGGTAATTGCTTGTCGGTGTGATAGAAAAGCTAATGAGGTGGGGGGGGTCCCCTGAGATTACCAGCAGATGGAAGCCACCACCACCCCTGTGTGGTCAGGATGAAAGGCTCCTGGTGACTGGCTCATCAGAAGAGTGGGGTGTAGTCTGTGGAGCTGGATCCTGACATACGGGGCTGTCAGGTGCCCTGCTAGGTCCCACAGGTGGTCACCAGCAGGCAGGGCTATAGCTGCGACTCTGACGGGGAGGACTTGTCCTGTCCAGCAGGCCCCTTGCCGCGGTTGCCAGCATCGAGGAGGCCATCAGCTATCACATTTCCAGTCCCCAGCTGGGGAGCTTGTCAGATCACTACCTCCGGGGTGTCCTGCGAACATCCCCTGGTTGTCCTGCCTGTGAACCAGGCCACAGGAAGGGAAGGACAGCTGGCTGGAAACAGAAAAAGTCACCGGCAGCATTCAGCTGGCCCTGGGTCGCCCCAGGGACATGGCAGTGACGGCTCTTTCCTCCTCAGGAGCCCCTAGCAGCACAGGGCCAGGAATGGAAGTGGGCCCCAGCACACGCCAGCCAGGCAGGGTCCCAGGGCGGGCAGGGGTGTGTGGAGAGATGCCAAGTTGGCTGTGAGACCAGCCTGACCTTCTCGACCACCTTGTTGCCAGCTCATGGCCTCCAGCCAGCATGCCTGCCGGCATCCTTCCTGTGTCGGGGCTCACAGGGCAACAGGCGCTCCAAGCAGATCCTGAGGGTTAGAAAATTGCCAGAAGGTTTTTAAGACCCAGAAAACCTCCCAAGAGGCCCCCATAAGTGCACACGCAAGTTTATCAGCCGCATCCCCTCCGGCGGCTGGAAGCAGAGAGGACGCCTTCCTCACTGCGTCAGCAGCCCCGAGGCAAGTGGTCCCAGCATGTGCCAAAGAAGGACGAGGTGGCCAGGGTCAATCACACAGTAAGGGGATCACTTGGGACGGGAGGGGGAGGCATGGGAGGAGCCCTAAGGCACAGCTGCAGGCAGGCCCCAAGCTTAGGCTCAAATCCTCCCTGTGTTGACGGGCTGCGGGGTGTCAGCAGCTGTTTTACTTCTTTGGGGCTTTAGCTCCCCCATCTGTAGACTGAGAGAAACAATGCCTAACTCGCAGTGAGGACCAGGGCGGCACATTCGGAGCTCAGCGGGCACTAAACATCCGCATGAACCACCAGCAGGCCCTCCCGGGCCGGGTGCTGCCGGGGGCCCCTTGTGCAATCGGGTTTCCTGGATTGCTGGATGGCACCAGGCCAGCCCCACGCTTTCCTGGACAGAACCTGGATGCATCTTATCACTGTTTTCTCAGAGGCCAGATAAAACCACCCATTGTGGAGGCTTTAATTCAGGACTGTCATAACTGGCTGCTAATGGAGATGCATGTTCCCCTGGGCAGAAACATTTATCTCCACACACTGCAGCGTTTCTGCTGATCACACCTGGCTGACCCTTAGCTTGCTGCCAGGGAGGCTCCATGTGTCCAGGGAGGGGCAGAGGATGAAGGTGTCCTTTCAGTTTTGAAGAAAGTGATGACAAAGAGGTGTTAACCAAAATTTGGGAAGGTAGATCAGAGATAACAAGATAGGAATACCTGTGGCTCAGGGGGCTCCCCCAGCCTCTCCCTGGGGTTCAGCTGAGTTCTGTGACCCCTCTCCTCTCTGAGGGTGCAGACACCACCCCTCCCCCAAGATGCAGACACACCTATACAGACACATGACACCACCACAAACAGGGGCCCTAGGTGCGAGGGTAGCAGCCATATTCCTGGCCATGTGGCTCGCCGGGGGGAAGAACCCCCGTGTTCCTGGAGTCCCAGGCGGTCGGAGAGGAACCGCCTTCTGGGGAACTGCCCCTGGTTCTGCGGCCGCTCGGACCCTGTCGGCTGCCAGTTCTAAGCAAAATCATGCCCATCAAAACTGGTGGGTGGTGTGAACAAAGATTCTACTGCATGTCTATTTTTTTTTAGCATGCTTTTCACAACTTTTGAAATTATTAGCAACTCTAAAGGCAACACCGGTGGTTACAGGCAGACTGCGAGCAGGCTCTGAGGATGCTGGTCCCAGGGACCCCCCTCCGCCCCCACCCGTGCTCTGCCTGGGGCTTCATGGCAGAGGGTCGTGGGTCCTTCTTGGCCAGCAGTGCAATTTCTGCTCATCCCAGTGGCTGTGCAGAACAGTCCTCACCCCACTTAGACTCTCGTGGGCTAGGTTTGCAAGGTGGGGTGAGGAGGCATGAGAACCTCAGTCGGCCCGGAGCCCTGGAGGCCTGCTACGGACAGCTTCCCAGCCTCCTCCTCCCCTGCCCTCCTCCCCACTCTTCTCACTGGGCAGCCCTGCCACTTACTGTGGAGCACCTGGGCCTCCTGTCCATTGGTTATTTGGGCCTATTCACATGTAATCCCAGTGCAACTGGACTGGAAGACATGAATCCCAGACATCTTTATTCTGTAACTGACTAGCTGTGTCACCTTGGCTATCCCCAGCCTGCTTTGTGTCTCTCTTTTCTCATTATACCAAGCTGGTTTAAACAAGAAAGCAGATTGATTCAAAATAAACCATGTTGCAGAATTCCCAAAATCACAGTAACAAGTCTTCCAGCACTACCAGTCCTCCTGGCCACCCAGGCCTGATGTTAGAATTTCTGGATACTTTGTACACTGTCATACATCCAGGACCATTTGAAAGTAGGGGCTAGGGGTTGTGTCTTTGAAGTTGGTACAACTGGTCCTACAGCATCCAGCTCTGTTCTCCTTAAACATGTTATTTGAGCGAATGAAACATCAGTCTTCACAGTGAGCCAAATGCCCCCATGCCTATCACTCTGCCCCAGGCAATGAGCTGCAACTTTCATACTGTATTCCTGATCCTATTACTTTTTTTTTTAAAGATTTATTTATTTATACATACAAGAGCTGGGGTTTAGGCCAGAGGTGCAGGGGTGAGGGTGTGTGTGGGGGGCAGTGAGAGGATTCAGAGTGGGGAGCAGAAGAGGCGGAGCTCCTGAAATACACTGCTGAGGGGAGCATAAGCGAGACAGGAGAGGTCTGCTGCGCTATGTGGGCCAGCTCCCTGGCCAAGGATCGAACTTGTGCTATAGCTATCTTAAACTCTTATGCCACCAGAGAGGCCCCTGGTCCCATTATTAATGCGCAATCATGATGCACAGAGGCCGGGAAG